ACCCTAAAAAATGTTTGACCCCTTAAACTTCTTAAACTCTTAAAACTAAACTCTAATACGACATAGTTAATCCAAATATAAATGATATAATGAATTTTTTTTGTTGAAAAAGTGGCATTTTTGCAAAGATTTTAAAAATATGGCATTGTTAAAAAATGGGACTTCAAAATTAGCATTTTTAAAAATTTCTCAAAACAAATTCCAGGACAGAGTAATAAGCATTCGCAACGGAGAAATGAAGTAGCTGCACTTTTTCTAATCCCATATTTTCTCTTATGAGTGTGTTTTTTAGTTGTAAAAAAAACACGTGTTCTTTGTTTTCAAATACATAACCAAACAAAAGCTGTTATACAATTCTTTTTGTTTATAGCCATGTATATGTATTGCTTTCGGTTAAAACTTGTAAGAGAGATCCGAGAAACATTTTTCAAAGTGTACTTCATATTTTATCAGATAGAAACATATGTAACATAACATTCAAGCACGATGATTATGATGATCACATTCATCACCCGCTATTATTATTCGAATTAGTACTGAAAAGGACCAGACACACTTTAAACTAGTATTTAACCACTCATAATCAGCGAAACTTGTTCACTAACTAATCATGATTAATAAATATCCTTAAACATAGAGATTAACAGTTTGGGGAAGGAATCCTGCAACCGTTAGAGACTTTCTTAGCGTTTGGAGAGTTAACGAATTGTCGGAGGCTAGGGTTCCTCATGTACCCACAAAGACTTGGCGCAGCACGAAGCCGAAGGTGGCGATGATGACGTCATAGCCGGTGCACATGGAGCCAGCTCCGCCGGGGAGCATGTCACTCCTTCCACCACCGGGATTTCGGCCACCAATACCAAGAGAATCGCCGCCACGAGGGCTAAAACGGAAACCCACATCACCTTCACCATCTTTTATTCCTCTTACTTCTTTTTTTGATTCTCTTTTGTGTTCTATTTTTTCAGTATGACTATTTCTGTTTTACAACCCTTTCCATTTATAGAGAAGAGAAGTTTGATAAGCTTTTTCTTTTTATTTTCAATTTTGTTTTCGAGAAAATTCCTGAAAAATATTCAAAGATAATTTAATTTGCTTGAAAATACATAAACTACTTTGTCTATCTGAATTATTTACTATTGTGTTTTATATATTCAAACTTTCAATTTTTGTAGGTTTTACATCCTCGATTCTAACATTGTTAACCCGTCAACAGAAGATGACAAACAGCGTTAATTTTTTGGCGAAAAAATTCCAGAAAATACCTGACCTTCGTTTAAGTTGCTTAAACAATACACAAATTTTTTAGCTACCCGAATAATAAACTTAAACTAAGCAAATTAAACTAAGTTCCCGAAGAAAAATTTAAATAGTTGGTGTCTTATTCGGGTAACCAAAAAGTTTGAGTATTGTTTAAGCAAATTAAACTAAGTTCGGATATTTTTCTGGAATTTTTTTTTGTTACAAATTGACACTGTTTATCATCTTCTATTAACGGGTTAACGCCGTTATAATCAAGGGTGTAAAGCCTACAAAATTTGAAAGTCTAAGTATATAAAAGGCAACCGTAAATATTGCATGTATTATTCGGGCCGGTAGCAAAAATAGTTCATGTATTTTTTAAGCAAATTAAATTAAGTTTGAGTATTTTTTAGGAATT